CGGCTGAAAGCTCGCAAAAGCCGGACGATGGGAGAGATGCGGCTTTACCCGAGCTTGCGTGTAGTCGGTACTCAACCTTGCAGCCTTCGTGCTAGGCTTGAAGCCAACAGCGAGCGTCTCCACCTTCGCATCCCCACTGCCCTCCACTCGCAGCTCTGCTTTGGAGGGGGTGACTGCTGAGCCACGTCCTCGTAACCGACGAGACGCACGTAGGTGCAGTGCACTGTTGCCATGCTGTTGTTCATCTTCGCTGTCCTCCAACAGGACTGTCTGATCTAGCAGATGACCCGAGGCACGCGTTCTGCCGCCCTTCGGGGACGGTAGCATTGCATGGATCCGGTTCACCACCGGCGCCAGGCTGCTTGATACTGCTGCCTTTGTAGGGGGGGAAGGGAAGATCAAAGTTGGGAAATTTGGGAGAGGGGGGGGCAGACATCTAACGCTTTTTGTCAGGCTTACTTTCCCTACTAACTATGACAACGGCGGAAATGGGATAAAAACATGGGGAAACAAAAACAGTCAGTTGGCTTACGACTAACTGGTGATTGCCGAGCTGGGGGGCTGAGGGTGATCGACCAACTGGCCGACGGCGTAAATCCAGCGACTCTGGGGCTTTGATAGTGGGTGCCTTGGATAGGTTGGGAATGACAGCTTCGCAGAACTTTACGGTACGTGCGTTTTCAGCTGTGGTGCTGCTGGGGGTGAAGCCGCCTGTGTGTAAGTCCTCAGCCGGCGGGGAGAATTGAGTGTAGTTAAAAGAAGAGGAATCCCTGTTTCTCTTTGTCCAATATTTAGGCGGCCGTGGAGGAGACGAGGGATGACTGGCGCCCCGTTTAGCGGACTGCCTTTTCTCCTCATTTGGCGTAGTACGGTGAGGGGATGAAGAGAGTCTGTGCCACATTCTTGTCATCGGCGTTGTTTCGAGCTCTTTTAGTGGCATCTTGCGAAACAGGTCATTTCGGCTTCCCAACAATGTGTAACAGACCAGAGACGACTGTAGGCGGTGTGTCTACTCGACTTAAATGACCTCAGTATCGGCCTGCGTAAGAATCATAGGGCTGTCAACAATGCCGTCAGGGCCAAGGATTGTGCGATTCGTTGCCATAGCTGCAGGTCAAACAGCCAATAGCCGGGTTCAGTACAAATGCTACTGGTCCAATGAAATGCCACCTTACGGACTGTATGCATTATTCGAGAAAAAACTAGCGCCAAGGAAGCGGCTTACTTATGCTGTGGCCCAAACGGCAGCATTCAAAAGGAATCAACCCGATTTGTGAATCCGATGAATTAGGCGGAATTTTCTGGCTGCTACAAATTCATTCGCATAAAGCGTGATTTACATTGAAGGACACTAACTGTACAGTCGGAATCTCAACTTCGTAAAGATTAAGAACGTGGATGAAGACAACGGTTTTAATACAGCATAATGTAACGCTATACACAAATCGACCACGGGCAGAGATTTCACATAGAATCCCCATTTTCCTTCAGTGAGGGACACGGGTATTTTAGTGCAGAGTCCTGACTGGTTTCCCTTAGTACCTGGATTCGATCCTTGTTCATGATGATACGTACGAAATGGTAAAAATGCATCAAATTCTCTTTGAAAAAAAAACGAATATTTGTTCAAATTATCAAACCACTAGACGGAGTAGGTGTATTTTCGCCTATCTTTCAATTTGCCTCCTTGACCGCACAGAAAAGTGGAACTACCTAGCATTAATATTTCTTGAAATAGCACCTGGATATGCGTGTTGATAAATTCCTTAGGACTGGTATAAAGAGTATGTTGAACGGTTTTAGCATATTTCAACAGATTGCTTTTCTTAAATAATCCTTTTGTTGGTTTTTCGCACCATTTGGTAAAGGGATGAAAGGATTCGTTGGCGTAAGCTAATCACTTGCCCACGAAAAGTTATCTTAATTACTGTGAATAATCACTTGAAATTCATGGCTTAGCCTATGTAAGCATCTTCAAAGGGGTCTTGTGAATTGAAATTGGTTTGCCACAGTTCCATCACACATAACTAGCTAAAAACTCAGGCATGCATTCCGCCCATTTGTTGTCCTTGCATGACACACCCGCGGGGTTTCGGCTCATTAGGGGATCCTTCAAAGTTCAGAGTGTGGTTTCGGGTATATCAAAATCAGCCCGGTTTTTCTGTGCTACACGGAGGTCATAACTGAAACCATCTGCAAAACATATTCATTGATGGGAACGAACGAGTGCCAGCCAGCTTCTCACAAACAATCCGGGCTTTGGATGCAACTTATTACTGAAAAGATAATCAACAAATGCATTTAAAAAGTGTAAATAAAAGTCCCATACTGCCGCCGCGTCAGTTATAAAAAAATATATATGAAAACTGAGGATACAGACAATAATTTTTGGGCCCAAAAATATATTTGTATCGATAGAAAGGAACTGTCTTCTCAGCGCTGAATGAGCATGTTTGCAAAAACATAACGTCTGACCTTATCTATGGAGGAAGTAAAACTGGTTTTCTTGCGACACAGGAAGCGTCAGAATAACACTGTTGCCACAAGCACTTAATATGACCGTATTTTTATGGAAGTCATGACTTCTGATAGACATGAATTAGTCCCCTACTGCTACCAAACGACACATGCATACACATGTGAGTCCCGAGGAAGTCCGATAGCCTCCGTTGGAAGGACAGGCAGGTCACAGACATATGGAGACGTGACAAAGCGCCTTATCAGTGATCTAGACCTGAAGAATTGGTCGTCTAACCAAGCAATCTTTGACAAAAATCTGGGTTCATATTTTCTCCCCTTAAAGGTACAGTGGTGTGTGTCATCTGCTTATCCGAGAAACGCTACGAATGACTTGTATGGCCGCCTAGAGAGGACAAGGGAACAGTAGCCACCCGCAGTACATATGACTTTGCGCCAAATGTCGGGAAATTTGATCTAAGATTAAGGTTAGTGTTAACGTTAAGTTTAGGTTTAAGGTCAGAGTTTGGGTTAACACGTGGATTATGTCCTTTTGCGCAGCCAACGCCCTACCAATTGAGCTACGAGTCTCACCGTGAGCTGTGAATTTTTTCACACTTGGATCGATTTTACCCTCCCCAACTGCTTGTATAGAATTCAACCTAACGAAACAACTAGCATTCAGCCCTCGGCAGGATTTCCTAAGCACTCATCTAGAATCCACCAGAATGACTACTACGCACACTTACTTGTTAGGAGGGTTGGCAGATTTGCTTAATTCAGTTGACCCAATTGTGAAACATTCTCGGCCTCGGTGGGAGTCGAACCCACACAGCAGGGCAAGCTTTTGCACAGCCAATGCTCTACCATTGAGCTACGAGGTTCACCGTGAGCCGTTAGTTTAATCACACTTGGGTCAATTTTGAGCACATCTGCTTAACCCCATCTAAAAATTAAGTAAGCCTAGTAGTCATTCTGGTGGATTCTAGATGATTGCTTAGGAGATCCTGCC